TTCCTTAAAAACTAGCAGACCTGTTTTGAAATATACACTTCCACATGCACAAACTGGAAGACAAAACTGCCACTTGCAGACCGTTAAAACTAGTATGCAAAATTTCTTCTGGGGGCCGGAGGTGATATTTAATAAGCTCTATTCCCTGCAGACATAACTGCAGCTGTTTTGTCTCAGGGGAATCCTGGAGGAGGGTTCCACACAGGGATGACCTCCCACATGCACGTGGCTGCTGCGACACTGCAGCGATCCCACATCTCAACACTTTTTCTACTGTCCTTCAGGAGTACGGCTCAGGTATTCTTTTTATGCAAAGACAGAATTCAGTTTTCAGTACAGTCAAAAGACTCATTTAAAATCCCATCTCAATTGAGAAATGATAATGTTGACACATAATTTTGTCAAGATCCATGTTTGTATTTTCCCGAAAGTACCAAATTCTATATGTATGAACTGGAGCTTATCCTCTTAAATATATATAAAATAAATATTTGTGGGTTGTTTGTCTTGGGCAGGGGGGTGAGGGGGGAGGGGAGCAGGGATGACACACGCCACAGAACAAGCATTGAAAATGTGAATTTTAAAGGTTAAAAAAAAATCCCAAACAGAAATCTAAAATACTTACAGTACAGTAAAATTTCACCATTTTAGGTGTGAGCCAAGCCTTTTTTAATGCTGGGTTTTAGCAGTACTGATCTCTAAGTGACCTAGTTTTTCATTCCCAACTCTGACATGAAAGATTGTAAGTGTGTCAGCAGCTTCACTGAATTCAATGGAAGGACCTGAGAACCCATGTGAATAAGGTGACTTTTATGACTTTGCAGACCTGGATCAAATCTGATTTTGCTGTGGGAAAGATACATATCATTTTACGTACCACAGTTTTCATTATTTCAGCTCAGAGATCTCAGTGCAATCCTTAGCTGTTCTTTTTGAGAATTACAGCAACAAGTAAAGGAGGCAAGTGCAGATACCTGGGACCCTGTGATGCTGTATTATAAGTCTATGTGGTGTTGCCTATATATGTCAGCTTCAGCTGCTTGAATGCAGCTGACAGGAATCTCTGGACCCAGTAAGGTACATTTTGTGATTCCTCTCTATCCTGTGTGGAAAAGTTTACAGACACTCTTCCTCACATTTGGCCAAAACCCACCAACATACTTTAATTAATGAGGTCTTTGCTACCCTAATGGAGCTTTACAAAAAAACTTTTTGGAATGCACAAGTAAAATAAACCTGCTAAATGAGAAGATGCAGTAAAACTCCTGATTTTTAACAAACAAAGTACATCTGAATAAATAGACTAGACTACACTAGAGTAGAAAATTCGGTTGGAAGGGACCTACAAAAATCATCTTGCCCAACCACCCGATCACTTCAGGACTGTTCAAAAGTTAAAGTGCATTATGAAGGGCACTGTCCAAATGCCTCTTTTTAAGGCACTGACAGGCATGAGCCACTGACCAGCTCTCCCGGAAGCCTGTTCCAGTGTTTGATATGATCAGCAAACCTGCTAATGGTGCATTCAACTCCTGCATCCAGATCATTGATAAACATGTCAAACAGAACTGGCCCTAGAATTGAGCCCTGAGGAACACTGCTGGTGACCAGTTGCCAGCCAGATGTAGCCCCATTCACAACAGCCCCTGGGGCCCTGCCCTTCAGCCAGTTCTTCACCCAATGCACCATGCTCATCTCACAGTTGGACAACTTGTCCAGAAGGATGCTGTGAGGGACAGTACCAAAAGCCTTACTAAAATTGAGAAAAACTACATCCACAGCCTTCCCTTCATCAGCTATGCGGATGACCTTACCGTAGAAGGATATCAGATTAGTTAAACAGGACTTTCCCTTTGCACACCCATGTCAACTGTGCCTGACGATCGCATTCTCCTTGAAACACTTTTCAATAGCACCAGTATGATCTTCATAGGTATCTACAGTCAAAAGGTTTGCCTTCTGGATTCATCCAGGAATGCAGAATTATTGCTTATCTTTTGCCTATGTTCCTGCCTCTTCCAGCCCATATCAGATACTGCAGAGGATGAAGTCACTCACAGGCTGTGGACAGAAAGACAGTTTTTATGGTTGCAGACTTCCAAAGGTCCAGTGTGTACTTTACACCCTGAAAGCTTTCTTTTTCTCTTCTTGCAAATTTCCTTGACTTTTCAGAAGAAACCAAAGACACAAAACACTAACTGAAAGCATCAAAATACATTGGTTTATTCATGAAGATCAAATAAGTGTAAATATTTGAAGCTTATGCTAAAATAGTAACATAAATTTCTTACAATCTACCTAAGGCCCACGGAAGTCACTGGAACAGCTCTAGCACATTTTATGGTCTTTGGAAAGGGATAGGAATTAATTTGTTTAATAGATTCATTGGATCGAATCACTCATCACTGGATAAGTGATTTGGAAGGAGCTATAGGACAAAGGGATTTGATTCCTTCCACGTTCATACACAGAGACAAACAGTGAAATGCATCCTGCTGGGGTTTCCCATTGTACATCTTCTGAAAAAAATTATTCTGTTAGGGGTTCCTCCACCTCTTCTTCAGATAACTGGTAAATGCATGCAGGACTGCTTCTTGAAGTCTGTCGCTGTGGAACACCCATAATGGGACAAACTGCAGGACACAAGCCTTCAGAATAAACAAGCAAAAACAAAACGAAAGCATAGGGTTACAAGAACTTCTTGGAAACCAACTGAGTGTTCAGAAAGGTCGTAGAAAACAGTAAATGCAAAAGATTTTACTTTATACTTTCAGTACGTATGTTTCTTTTAGAGGGAAATGTTCATTCCTCTCAGTTTTCAGCAAAACCGTTCTTGTCCCTACACTTTCATTAAATGCTTATTGTTAGCAGCTGTTATGTATAAATATTTATTCTATTCTGTTAGCCTGGTATCCTAAGGAAATGATGTTTATGTGATAGCACTGTCTGGTTTTACATCCTTTCCCTTCCCCACTAATAGCTTTTGAGTCTGCTGGCCAATTTCTTTAAAGGAGTAGGGGTCTCAGGAATATTCCTAACAGGCCTGTGAAAACAGGCAACTGGAGAAAGGATAAAGACTAACTAGATATGAAACGGAGCTCAGCTCAAGACACAAAAGTGGAGAAAGCCACACCGTGCTGATGCTTTGCTGGTGTATTCCTCCCTTCATAGTTTACTGGTGCCATATTAGCCTGAATAACCTATTCACTGTTTCTCATTTGATGCCCAACCTTAAGGTCTCTGAGATAAGTCAAAAGAAACTGCTGAGCCCATAGAGCCTTGGTTCAACCTTTGGGACCTATTTACACACTATCAAATTCAATTACCAGCATTTCATGGGCCAAACATCCAAAGATCTCATCTCCAAAGGTGACATAATCCAGTGATTCACTAACAAACTCTTCTGCTGTCTTTGTAATAAGTCCGGGTTTTTGGTACATTGTCATTGGAGTAGAAACACCATAAGGAGCCACTACCTAAAAGAAGAAATCATAATAACAGTGTAATGTCATCTAACATTTAGATAAGGCCATTCATTCCGCAGAATACTCTATCTGAAAAATTGTAACACATATTTGCAATGGATTAAAGGACTATGTGGAATAAGTAATGGTACTGTGGTGGAATAAGGAAAAAAGCCTATAGCTGCCTAAAGGGAAGAGAGAAAGCTTTGACAGGGTCACCCAGCACTCCATGAAGGAGGGCTACAGTATGCAGATCTAGGCATCTCAGATATTCTTGAAGTATTTGTTAAAATGAAGGCAAATATGGCAAGATATAGCATCACCTGTATGATAATTCCCTTTGCCTTATACTCTGCTCGTAGTGCTTTGGAGAAAGTGCTTATAAAAGCCTAGAATAAAATAAAACAAAATAACATTAGCATAGGAAACTAAGTACTTTCACATATGCTCACAAATATGTGCAAACAGGTCCTTAATAAAAATGGCCAAGCATTATACAACTTAAGTCACAGTGCAGTGGTGAAAAACAAAAAAATGAACTTTTCAAGGCACATTTTCTGCTGGTGCACATGAGCAATGGCAAGGTCGACTGTTTCTCTGCACCAGAAAAGAGGCACCCTGGACATGAAACAAGTACTCCTGCAGACTGGACTGAAAGCTTTGTCGCATGTATGAAACTGCAGAGATATAAATACCTGAGTCCCATTTATTCTAGCTATTTTTTTCATGTGGCTCTCATCTCTGGCTGACGCCTACCCTCCCAGTTCAAGGCTTACACTGCTGTTTCTCTTGCAAAAAGAAGGGGAGAGAAATACAACTCATGCCTTCAGTGTATACCTATTAGCGGAGCCTACAACTATGATTTTCAAAGTCATGTATTTGGGAACGTTGCGGAAGGGGGTGGAACAGGGGCGGGGGTGTGTGGCTGTAGCTTCAACCATTATGGTTCTAAGTTTTTCTTAATGGTTCTAAGTTTTTCTCAACACCATGAAGAATACGCATATACCAACTTCATTGTGTAAAAATTGAGTTTCTTTTAAGACTGGTTTTAAGAGTTAGATCTTTGAGAAATACTCAGAAACTTGACAACACTGTATCACTCCTCTGTAATTAGAAATATAAAAGTCCTACTAAGGAGAAAAAATGACAGTGTTTCAAAGCCATCATATGACAAGTCTTACAATTTAAACACTAATAGTGTTGTGATATTGCATGAAACTTCAACGTGCTGACAAGTAACACAGTTTCCTTTCAGGGCATGGCAAAGAAAGCCCATTTATAAAGAAACAAAGGTAAAAGATAGCCAAGAATGAAAAAAGTCAAAATAATACAACGCATGTACCATATCACTTTGAAATAACATTAACTAAACTTTTTTAAGGAACTAAAAATGTCTGGTTTGAATGTAGTTCAAGTTTTGAGGAATGAGAAACCTATGTTAAAAAGAGAAAAAGGAAATGGAAAACCAGAATTTCTTACCAAGAATAACTAGCTTTTTTTTACCAAGCTGAACTTTAGCTATGCTCAAGCAAATATTGTTAAAATTTTTAATTTGGACCAAACCTGAGCTGAGCAAGTTGCTTTTGGAATTTCAATAAAAATCTTTGACTCCTTATGTTTACGAGCTCTGGGGTTTTAATTCAGAGAAAAATTTCAAAGTGAAATCTATGAAGTCAGGCAACTCACCACCCACCTACCAGGAATTTTATTCTTGGTTCCATAAGCAAAATCTAGCACTTTCGTGCGTTTTGAGTAAACTAGCTAAGCCAGCCTGGTAAAAATCATCACTTCCCAGAACGAGAACAGTTTGTGAGCACTGGTATAATACTATTTAATCAAAGGCAAAAATGTTCCGATGATCAGACATACCTTCAGTTGATTTCATTTACATACCTACACTAATTCCTAGTTCTTAGGCAGTGCTCGTTTACGTCGCTTCATTATTTCAGTGGAGCAACACTGATTTATGTCCTGAAACCTGGCCCTATACTGCTGATACAAACACTTTGGTAAACACTTGACGGGGATTTCTTTGTAAAGCGATGTGAATGACTTACCTTAGAAGCTGAGTACATTGTGTACAATGGACAAGGGAAAGTACCCAGACCAGAGGACAGATTCAGAATAAGACCTTTTTGTCTGAAATTTAATTTAAACAGTTACATTCAGTTTACATTTGACAGTATTATAGCAAAAGCCTGCACCAGCTGAAAACAACTCTTTTCCCCAAGAAGGCACAGCTCCCCTATTTTACTCTAGATTACACTTTCAAAAGACCCAATTTTTATTGTTTAGTTAGGTGTAATTAAGTCTAAACCAGCTAGAGATAATGTCATAAGTGAAATTTAAATGCCTATTGCAATCAGAACCATGGGAACATTGTACATGCTATTGTACGTCTATCAGAGCAAAAACTCCCATCAGAGGAAAGATTTTATGCTCCTAAGTAATTGGTAGGTCCCCTTTGCTCATTAGCCAGCACATTCTTTTTCCTGCTCCATGCATCTGCTGTTTTAGCTTCCCTATTCACAACTCCCTTTACAAATCACTAAAAACAATTAATCCAGCAGCAACCAGGAAAAAAAAAGAAAAAAAAAACAACAAAAAACAACCAAACCAATTAAGCAGTAAGAGCTTATTTTGTTGCCAAAACAAAAAGCAGGCACTGTCCTCTAAAACGCAGTAGTTAACAATGTTTTCTAGAAACTCCATCTGAAGACCTTAACTTCTGGTTTAAGGACTCCCACATGTAAAATACACGTTGTATTAAAAGAAGAAAAGGGATCTTTAATTGCATGGCTGAATTAACCTCTCTGGTGTAGTACAGGTATTTCCAGAGCTTGAAAACTATTATGCCAAGTACAGCTACCACTCTTAGAAGAATATCACGATATATTCAAATGCCATTTCTTGCCAAATTGGACCCATCACATGCCATTTTATTTCAGCAACACCTGCATGCTTTTACTGCACACAGACCTGTATTTTATATTTTCTGTCTTGTTCTACAGTTGGCTGACAATTTGTGGCAGTTTCTACCATTCATTCATACAGCACTAACAACCACAGAAGAAAATCTTACTGACTGACTTACTGTAAAGTGCAGAAATTACTCATGAAAAAGCATAGCTGCCACTGAATAAACTGAAGGTAGAAGCTAAATCCTATTGAAAATTTTAGAAAAAAATATTTTTACCTTGGTTCCATTTGTTTCAAAATTATTTTTGTCATCTGTAAGACAAATATGTTAAACTATATCCAGTCTCCCTCTTTCCGATTGCATTTTTCAACTGATCTTGTTTTATTCACGATATTTCCACTTGCTCAAGCCCCAGCCATATACATACAGTTCAACGAGCTAAAATGTGGCACATTCAAATTTTTGGAAAACATTTTAGAAATACTAAAGGCCTGCAAATCATTGAATTGCCAAAAAAATTCCAAAGGATAGTCTTCTAATTAGTGAAAATCTTTTGCTTATCCAAAGCTTTTCAACAGTATCTAAATTTCATCGTTCTTCAATACAGAATCAGAACTGTAAGGAGAAAGTCAACTTCACAGTGCTTTTGCTTTTTCAGTTCTGCCTCTACCTGGATTAGAAATAGCAGAAAATCAAGAAAAGAAATCCTCTTTTCTGCTACCAAAGAGAGCTCTAGAATAATTTTGATGCTAATTATTTAATCATCCCTTCTTATTTTAACAATAGATTTAATCATATTTATGATTTTTAAAGTGCAATTAATTCCATTTTTAGGCAAGAAATCTGTTTCTGTTTGTTTTATTTGAAGAGTATTATTGATAATAAGCCTAAGTCCCTATGGAATTCATACTCATACTATTGACTCTTTATAGAGACACACACAATGTATGAATCTTCTCGGGATAAAAGTGTGACTTAACTATTGAAGGCTAGTAATGAAAAGTAGAGCAAAAGAAAGATGCAGCTTAATTCAGTCCTTGTTATTTTTTCAGTAGTGTCATTGTGCACAACGGTATAGTAGGAGTAGGGTGGGGTTCACAAGCTCCGTTTTTGGCAAGGATGACAATGCGGGTGGGTCACATCCGTTTGGGTGAAGGGGAAAGTGCAAAAGTAAAGTGCAAAATACGGGAACGGGTCTTGTTTTTGCGGTGCTGCAAGTCCCACTGGCATCTGTGGGAGCCAGGAATACCTGGAGTTCAGGCGTCCCACTGCAAGAAGTAGTGATCAGGATCCTAGCTGGAATCAAGGCAGGGAGGTGGCAAGGCAGGGGAAACCCAAATATGTTTAAAGATGATTTGGACCTAACCACGAGGAATGCTGGTCAGGAGCATGAGTTTTTCTTTGTGTTTTGGAGGAAGGTGAATGTTCACGAAAGACTGAAAAGGATGTGGTTGCAGGAATCCCCAGGCCCTGGTCAAGCAGAAGAATTTGATTCCAAGGTATGTGTAGGGTGAGAAAAGGCAAGAGAACCCCTTTCTGTCCAGACTGAGAGGGTATAAAATGTTTGCCTGTTTTTTGTGAGGCGTCTACATACAGCATTCAGATATTTCTCTGCTTTTGATGTATAAATAGAATAAAATGTAGGAGCACAAAGTTCACCAAAATACTTCATGGAAGAATTTGTTTCAATTGACTGATATTACATGATTTATTATTTGAAGTCATTAAGCAGAAGTACAAATTTGGGATGTAAATTTGGCGAGCCAAAGAAAGATGAACATCTGTTGATAATTTTCATGTCATGTTTGGAAAGACGTTAGCCAAGGTTGCGATGAACTACAAAGCTCTTGTTCTGCTCTTGTTCATGCTAACATGCTGCTTGCAAACAGCAGAGCAATACAAACCTCAATCAGAGGTGCAAAGCATGAAACACTAACTATTCTTGTAAGGGGAGTAGCCCACTGAAATTAACACCGAGAGGTAACAGTACAGAACTGGGAGTCAACTCCTTAAGTTTCTGTCCTGCACTGATACAAAAATATTTTTACAGAACAGAATTGTGTCAATACTGCAATTTTGGCACGTCTTTCAAAAATCCTGCCTACGGCAGGGGGGTTGGAACTCGATGATCTTCAAGGTCCTTTCCAACCTAAACCATTCTAGGATTCTATGAAAAATGCATGTACAGTGCAAAAAGTCAAACTGCAGATCTTCCTGTCCTGAAGATTTTTATTCTGAAACAAATCTCCTTGTCTACCGAAACCAACGTGGTCTTGCGAAATGTTTCAGCTGCAGTGAAAGGATGTGTCTCAACCAAGCGACCGTGTTAAAATGTTTCCAGTCAGTTTTGATCACAATGTTTCATAGGCAGTAGAAACAGAGGGTGTCCTTAAAATAATGCTGACCTTTTAATTACTATTTTTGGATTAATTAAATGAAAATACACAGGAAAGCTATTTGGTCGCTTTTGTGCAGGGCTGGTCTTTTTCGAATTAAATAATTACAGATGTAACATAGGTGTGAGTGTGTCACATACCTTTGTAACAGAAATAACATTGCAGTTGATGAGGTTCTGCAGGAAGAAAGAAAACGGTAAGTCCATCCTTAATTTCAGCGAGTTTGTAGCTTATCTAGGTTAACAGAGCTAGCAATCCCAACTGAAAAGCTTTCTAGCAAGGCAGCTGCTTTGCTCGCCTCTGACTGTCACTGACTGGTGTTGACTGACAGCCAGCTGAACATGAGCCAGCAGTGTGCCCAGGTGGCCAAGAAGGCCTCCTGGCCTGCATTAGGAAAGTGTAGCCAGCAGGGCTAGAGAAGTGATTGTCCCACTGTACTCGGCACTGGTGAGGCCGCACTTTGAGTACAGTGTTCAATTTTGGGCACCACAGTATAAGAAGGACATTGAGGTGCTGGAGCGTGTCCAGAGAAGGGCAGTGAAGCTGGTGGGGGGTCTTGAGAATAAGTCTTATGGGGAGCGGCTGAGGGAACTGGGGTTGTTTAGCCTAGAGAAGAGGAGGCTGAGGGGAGACCTTACTGCTCTCTACATCTGCCTGAAAGGAGGTTGCAGAGAGGTGGGCGTTGGTCTCTTCTCACAAATTACAACTGATAGGACAAGAGAAAATGGCGTGAAGTTGCGCCAGGGGAGGTTTAGGTTAGATAATAGGAAAAACTTCTGCACTGAAATGGTTATCAAAGACTGGAACAGGCTGCCCAAGGAAGTGGTTGAATCACCATCCTTGGATGTATTTAAAAGCCATCTAGATACGGTGCTCAGGGACATGGTTTAGAAGTGGGCCTGGCAGAGTCAGATAACGGTTGGACTTGATGATCTCAAAGGTCTTTTCCAGCCATAACTATTTTATGATTCTGTGACTGCACCTGTGATGTGGGATACTCAAAGGCCTGATTCTTTTTATTTTAAACATGGCCTTCAAATCTGCTTTGCAGGCCTTTGAAACTGCATTTTCCCCAGCCGTGACGTTGCACGTGGCAGAACCCAGAAGGCCGGTGTGCAGGCAGCGATGGCACCAACCTGCGTGCAAACAGACAACAAACTATGGAGGTGCCAGGCTGAGACCGAGTGGCTCTCAGTGACAGAGGCAGGCGACAGCACTGCCCGGTAGGGAT